TGGCTTAGCAGGCTCACCAGGCCTGAAATTGGCCTTATAACCTGCTAAGACTTCCACACCTGCCTTTCTCCCACAGTGGGTCCACTCTTTCTTCTTTCCAGCCCTGTGGGTCCAGGCCAGCATCTCCCACTGGAAGACTGAGGCATTTCCACTCTATCCTGTCCATGCCCACTCAGGGCAGCCAAAGAGTTCTGTCTACAATCTCTGTCTCCTTCTATTTCATGCAGGGTGAAGTCCATCCCTGCCCCAACCCCCAGAGAGATTTTCAAGGCCATCCTGAGCCTGGTGTGGCCTTGGCTTCTCTCAGCTATGTCCTCCTTCTCCTGGCTGGTTCTTGGCACCCACCACCCTCCTCTGTGGTATTCAGCAGCACCACCCTGCCTCCTGCAGCTGCCAAAGCCTCCACTGCCTATGGGTTCTTCTGTCCACCCACTCTCCACTTAAGCCAGGGGTAGGAAATTCCTAAAACATGGCAAGCTCACTAAACCCAGACTGAAGATCAATCACTGCCCTCACAGGCTTTTCCTAGTCCATCTCTCTCTCCAACCCCAGAAGGGATTGTTCTCTCTTTGTGTCTTTACTGTGGAGTACTGTCAGAGAGCTGGTGCTCTGTGCTTTCATTTTTCTCCTTTAGATAAATAGCTCTCTTCTAAAGGCAAGGGATACTTTTCAGAATATGGTTAGTGCTCAAAAAATATTGATATTTGATGTAGGGGTTAAAAGAAGGATAGAAAATGGAAGGAAGGAAGAAAAGGAGGGAGAGAGGGAAGGAGGAAGGGAGGAAGTAAGGAGAGAAGGATGGAAGGAGAGAAGGAGAGAAGGAAGAAAGGAAGGAAGGAAGGAAGGAAGGAAGGGCCAGTATGTATGGACCCAGACAGGGAGGCAGGTGATAGGCAGAGGGAGGCATGGTTGATGGCCCCACAAAGACTCAGAAGAGATGACAGGGAAAATGGGGACATTACTAAGACCCAAAATCAGGATCTCATGCCGGAAGCTGGATGCTGGTTAGTTCAGCCCATCTTTTCTGAAGTAATTTCACTTAGAAACTCTTGAAGGACATTATAGTAGCTTTCTGTGACAAATGTAATAAATTGTCACAAACTTAGTAGCCTACAGAACTCAAATTTATCCTTTACAGCTGTGGAGGCCAATGTAGGTCTCAGTGGGCCAAAATCAGGATATGGGCAGGACTGTGTTCATTCTGGAGTCCATTTCTTCCCTTCTCTAGCTTCTAGAAGCTTTCTGGTTTCTTGGCAGGTGGACCCATATCACCATTGTCTTCCCTTCTTCTGCTTTCATTATCATGTCACATTCTGATTCCAGCCTCCTACACCTCTTTCTTATGACTCTTGAGATTACATGAAGGACTCATCAGGTCCTAAGTGTCTCATGTCTAGATCTTCAACTTGATCATATCTACAAAGTCCCTCTTGTCAAAGGGTAAGTCAGGCACCAGTCCTGGGATTAGAATGTGAATTATCCCTTCCCCAACATGACTCTATGTAGCACCGATTTCCGTCCCACAGATAGGACGTGGGAATCTCTGGGTCAGTGACGTAAAGGACTCTTGCTCAGGTTACCCAGCAACATGGAGCAAAAGCAAAACCAGACAGAGAACCCAGCTTACCCCTAGCTGTCTGTTGTGGCTGACTTCCCGCCCTACGTGGTTCTGATTCTCAGTGATGATTGTGATGGCCCTGCCAGGTAGAAATCATGTCCTTTTCTACACAGAGGCTGAGATCAGGGCCCTCAGGGGCTACAGTAAGTAATGAGAGAGTTGTTATGCAAAGAGGTTGGGGTTGAATGTGTGGGCTGATTTAAAGTGTTAGTAAATACTGGTTGCTACCATTCCTAGGTAAAGATCCCATAGCTGCACCCTTCCCCGGCCTAGGGAAGCACGGGGAAATGTCCTGGAGGGCATGCAGGTACCTGCTGGCTGAAAATCAAGATGGTTTCCCCTGGGTGATAGTACAAGACCTCTGCTTTGCTTTGCCAGCTCTATACCCATGTCACCGCATATCCCTACTGGGTAATGGCCACACATAGTACACTGGACTGAGAGGAAGCCCCAGGCTTGGGGACCTTGCAAACAGCACAGAGCCTGAGCCAGCACTCTGTCCAGATCTTGGAAACACTCTTCAAAAGTGAGGCAGAGTGAGAGAGTCTTGGTTTTAAGAGAGAAAAGGACAGTCCAGCCAGACACACAGAAGTCCCACATATAGCCCCATTCTGAGCAAAAAGAGCTAACCTTGAACCTAAAGTACTGAGCCCCATGCCTCTAATCTCAGGCATGACCTTGAACATTCCTCAATGGGGTGTTCAGTGCAGCTGGGGTGGACATAGTGACCCATGCATCTCAGCCATCATGAGACCTCTTACTGACCCTAGAATTGGAGAGTCAGCAGCACAGTAGGCCCATGGATCAATGGTTCAAGGCCCTGCACCCAGGACCCACAGGAAATTGACTGTAGAAAACAATGAAATTCAGCCTTGCAAAGGGAGGATGGCCAGCTGTGTTCATTTTTCTGCCTGTGGTGGCCTGGCATTTCCATCTCTTTAGAGTGTCCATGCAATGCCAGGCAGATATTGGCCAGAGGCAGTCTTTGGAGACAGTGAGTAGGTGCCCTGGTCAGAGTCTTGGGCTTGGGTTGCTCCTCCTGCAGTTGACCTGTTCACTGAAAGCCTTCAGGACAAGGCAGAGTAGGGAGGGGCGGGGCTGAGCAGGATCAGTGACAATAACAGCCTTCAGTCCAGCCCGCCCTCTGCCCTTTCCTGAGCCCCGTGGACTGCCACCTCTGCAGTGTGCATGCTCAGCTGAAGGACAGAGTGAGTACAGCTGCCGGGATGGAAACTGGTGGGCTTGAGGGTAGGCCAGGAATGGGGGAAAGGTCCCAGAGTACCCAGTATGGAGGGATCAAAAGTTCTGCTGAGTCTCAGAGTGACAGGAAAGGCCTCCTCCGTGTTTGGGAACAAGCTAGGACTTCAGGGGAGGTAGAGGTGAGTCCCCTAGCCATGTGACCTTAAGCTCCACACCAAAGCTGGCCAAGCCTCAGTTTCCTAACAGGAGAATGGAAACAGTTATGCCATCATCATGATATGGCTGAGATTAGATCAGATACTGGCTCTTACTCAGCCATATCTGACACCTCTGCAGACATGTTTGGTTGTCAACTGGTAGGCACGCTACTAGTGTCTGGTAGGCAGAGGCGAGGATTGCTACTAAACATCCTACAATGCCCAGGACTGTCCTTCCACAAAGAATGATCCTGCCCAGGGTCAGCAGGCTGAGGTCGAGAGACCCTGAATGAGGTAGTAAGTGACAGCAAGATGCCTGGAAAGAGGCTCTCGGGAAATAGCAGCACAGACTGCTCTCTGTGCCTGGAGTTGGGGACCTTCAGAAATTGGAAAGATTGTCAAGTGGAATCTTCTCCCCTGGGATCAGGTGGCCCTGGCTGGAGACTGCTCCCAGGATGGTCCTTCAGCTGCCCGTGAGCCCTAGGGGCCGCTGGGCAGTTTGATAAATAAACAAAGCAGAAATAAAGTGAGCAGCATGTCCAGTGTCTCTAAGGGTGGGGCCTTGCAAGAAAAGCCATGTCGTCTTCACAGATTGGGACCTGAAATATGGGGAGTAAAGAGCCAGGAGGAGATATCTAGAGGTAACAGACATGGTCACAACCTTGCCTGTGGTGACACTGTCAAAATTGCACCAATGTCCAGGCTGCCAGCTTTATGTCTAATAAGGCACAGCTGTTGGTCTGTCAGTCGCATCTGGAGAGTGGCTGTTAAAGGGATAGAAAGGAGGTGCAGGTGAGTGACAGGGAGGTGGTACTTGGGGTCACCTGGCAAGAGAGGCCTGGGCTGGTGAGAGCCCAGCTCTGGTGCCCAGCCTGGCCCTATGTCCACAAGACAGTGTCCAGCTTGTGTCTGACACCTGTGAGGTAGAAGAGGAGTCTGGGTCCCCTCATTCATTCATTCATCCCACACGTGGCGAAGACTGGCAAGGGTCATCTCAGTTGAGAGCATGTGTTCCCATGGGAGAGAGGCAGGGACAAAAGACTTTGTGGACAAATGCACATAGAAGTGCACAAATACAATTGACGATGGACTGTGAGAGAAACGGTCACGGGGCCGTTACAGAGAACAACAGTAGAAGAAATAGGGCCAACATGACAGTGACAGTGTGTCACCAAGATGTGACATCTAGGAGAGGCTGACCCTCTGCAGAAGCTGCCTTGGAGAGGAAGGCATGGAAGGAATGCCAGCTGAGAGAGCTGTGTGTGAAGGGCCTGGGGTGGGACAGAGCTTGGTGTGTTAGAGGCATCAGGAGAAGTGTCCTGGACTCACACAACCCAGGGCAGAGCGGGCAGAGGCGAGGCTGGCAAGAGCCAGGCAGAGCCTGGACACGTGGGCCTCAAGGGTAGGAGCACAAGACCAAGTGCAGGTTACCCCAAGTGCAGTGGGTGGTTGTGGGTTCTTAGTGAGAGGAGCCGTGCTGGGTCCTGAGGGATGCTGACCCTAAAATGGCTCTTGGGAACAGAGGGGAAAGACATAGGGGGCCCGGGTGAGAGATGGAGGGTCTTCCAGTAGGTGGTGGCATGGAAAATGGAAAGAGGTGGGAGGTTGAGGACCTGTTTTGGAGACGAAGTGACAAGCTTGCTGGTGGGCTGGTGGTGGCGGGAGGTGGCCGTCACTTCTCCCGTGGAGCTCTGTGGGCTGAGGGATCAAGAAGAAGCTCTGGCTCTCTCCCCCTCTGCTCAGGGTGCATACCCCAGCTCCCTTCACATCAGCAGACATGGGACTGACCCTGCTTACCTGCACACCTCTGTCATCAGAGTCCAAAATCGACCAGATGGGACTTTGCTGCCCACATGGATGGTGGGGATCAGTAGGGAAACTGAGCAGGGTCCACCCTCTCCTGCCTCAAGCCTGAAATGATAGTGACCATGACTTATCTCTCCTCTTCAAGGTCAGGGGCAGGACGGGCAGCCAGACCAGGCTCTCCGTGCACCTCATGGTGGCTGGCTTGCTGCATGGGGGACTCTCTGGGCCTGGAGCAGTCACACCTGGCTCAAAGTTGACACAAAGCTCTGTCAAAGCTCTTTCCACCAGAGGCCCAAGAGCAAAGCCTAGACTTTCTATCTAAGAAACCTGAAATGCACACCCAAGGCTTCCACTTCCTGCCAGAGAAACCTCTGTGACTCTGTTTCCTTTTCTGCGTTACTAAGATCGTGACACCAAGCCCACGTTACTGCAGAAGTGAGCAAAGGCAAGAGAATCGCTTGGGAGAGGCTGGGGATCCACACCAGGAGGGGGGGCAAAGAGGACTGAAGTGTCGTTCCCCAGAACCACAAGGCAGCCAAGAGACAGTAAGTGTGCACCAGTCAGAGGAACGTGGATTTTAATCCTGGTTCCATGAGTCACTGGCTGGAACAAGCTTTTCCATTTTGCTTAGTCTCAGTTTACTCATTTGTGAAATGTGGCTAATAACACTAGCTTGTGAGCTTAGATACAGTAATATTTATACAGTATCTCCCAGGTCCATTGTAACTAGTGACTTCCAGATGGAACAAGGCAGCCTACGGGAGCCCAAGTGAGCCTATGTCTCCCCTCTCCCCCAGAACAGACCCAGAGGGCTTCTGGCTCTCAGGTCTACTGTTCAAGGTGGGGGCCATGGCGGGGCAACTGCCGATGAAGAAATTGAGGCCCAGTGAGGGGGAGAAGCTTGCCAATGTGGCCTTGCCAGCTGCGTAGGCTGACTAAGGGCTGAACCCCAGCAGAAGCCCCCTTGCCTCTGCGGATTGCTGTAACATGGTCCTCAGCTTAGCTGAGTGGCTCCTCTAGACCAAATGACTCTGTGACAGGTCTCAGCATCTGCCAGAGGGAGCAGCTTGTGCTGTAAGATAGGCGAAAGGACTGGAGATTATACCTCCTACTGTGTCCTCTGAGGCAGCTGTCATGGTGGGAACAAAGAGGGAGTGGAGCATGGGAAGGCCGGAGTGTGTTTCTGAGTTATCTGCAGATTAGGGCTATCTTCAGCTGCCAAGTCAAGGATCACAGACGCAGGAGGCTGTGATAGAGTGCAGGGACAGGGGGAAACCAAATGGGTGGGGCTTTAGAGTGGCTGTGAAGGGCCAGGACTGGGTCTGAGGCCACCATCAGTAAGCATGCAGCCTCCCTAAGCCTCAGCTTCCCCATCTGCAGGATGGAGCCAGAGGTAATCTGCCTCTGAGAACATATGTGAGGCTGAAGGAGTTGACAGGTCAAGACAGAGGGCGCCTGGCAGAGGTGGGTGACACAATGGGCTTCCCACAGCCTGGTGACTGTGGAGTCTGCTACTTTGACTTTTGGGTCTTGGTACCAGAGGTTTGGCAGGCAGAACATTCTAGATGAGCCTCCTTCTCTGAGCTTAAGGTGCAGCTGGAGCTGGTGAGGGTGACTCACCTGAGCTACTGAGCACCTTCAAACAGAGACAGGCCTTTTGTCTTAGACTGCCTGACCTTCTCCACCATCGTTTTGGCCTGGGGTTCCCCGGTTCAGGGCCACTGCAGCTATTTCCAACCTGCTGTTTGGGCCCTCAGAGTGTGATTTTGCTTAGGTCTTTTGACTCTCTGTGGCAAGCTGCACCTGCCTTCCTGGGCCTGAGGACCCAATGACATGGTGCCCATAGTGGGACAGATTCCACAGAGTAGATTCTTTCCGGGAACAGTGTACAGGATGAAACTGTCAACAGAGTTGGCAAAGCTGCCACCAGGCTCACATGAGAACGTTTGTGGCAAACTTGCACCTCATGGTGCCTCTGAGAAAGTGTGGCAGCTGCTGGGGCTTTAGGATCCTATGATGCTGACGCTTCACATATCCACAGCACTTGCTTTGTGCAGGGTGCCATCCTACACACTTTGCACCCGGTGAGGGGTTGCGACCCTCCCAGGAACCCCCATGTGGGCGCTGCTACACCTCTACCTCCCTGATGTGGCACCACTTGCCTGGTCACACTGGGAGGTCACAGTGGACTGAGTCTTGAACCCGGGACTGGCTCAGAGCAGGGCTGCTTAACACCACTGGGGGAGGGGGAGGTAGGGTACAGGCAGGGGAAAGGTATCTGGGCACCTGGATGGTGCCAGATACATAAGCATGAGGGAGGAAGGTGAAGAGTGACTGAAGAAGGCCGGAGGAAGAGGGAGGAAGGTCAGAAACCCAGCACAGGTCAACCAGAGAGACCATAGGTAAAAGCATCCATCCTCCTTTGCAGGAGAAAAGAAGAAATGTTTTAGGAAGGAAGTCCTATAGGCTTGGGACTTATACAATGGAATCTATTTTCTCAAAATTCTGGAGGTGAAAAGTCCAAGATCAAGGTGTTGCAGGGCAGGTTCCTTCTGAAGTCTCTCTCCTTGGCTGGCAGGTGGTCACCTACCCCTTGTGTCCTCACATGGTCCTCTCTCTCTGTGTGTCTAGGTCCTGTTGTTGTTTTATAAGGGCACCTTTCCCATTGGATTATGGCTGTGCTCTGATTTCATTTTGATGAGATCAGCTCTGCAAAGGCCCCCTTTGCAAATGCAGTCACTCAGTGAGGTATTGGGGGCCAGGGCTCAGCATATGAATTTTGAGGAACACTGTTCATCCCCTAACAGAAGAGGAGGGAACTTGGGACACTCACATTGAGAGAACAGAATTTTCCAGGAAGGGACAGTGTCTCTGACAACAGACAAAGGTGGCTTGGAGCAGCCCTGGGAGAAGAAGGGGCCTGCCATCGATGGTGAATGAACAAGACAAGACTAGCAGGGCAGGGAGAACTGGTCCGAGTCAATAGGAGGATCACAAGGCCTTGCCATGTGCTGGCTGAGACATCCACATGAAGGTCAGAGTTCACAGCTCTAGTTCCTTGACAGGGCAAACCACGAGGACCCTCTTCCTTCCACACCCAGCCCCAACATGCACCTTGATGTGGTTGAGCAGAGCCACATCTCACGTGGTAGCCAGTACCTGCCTCGGGCCTGCACCTCCTCTGCCTCCTGCTTCCTCTCCCTCCTGTTAGATGTCCATGTCTCTAAATCTCTATCCTCAAGCCACCACTGCCTTCTGCAAACCATGCCCCTAACCTCAAAGAGGCCCTGTAGAATCCAATCTATGTGTTGGGTTCATTCTTCTGGGACATCAGCCTTACTTGTGTCCCCATAGTCTCACAGCTCTGAGAATTGACACAACTGTGTCCTTACTGAGCACTCCTTCCCATTCTTCCTTTCAGAACAGGGCAGCCACCATGCAGCTCATCCTCCTCCTGTGTCTGATGCTCCTTAGTCCTCAGGTTGCTACCATCCACCAACGCCACCATGCCAGGGAGATGAAGAAGAAGGGCAGGGAGCCCTCTGTGGGAGACACAGTGGCCACCAGCAGTAAGGACTTCACCTTTGACCTCTACAGAGCCTTGGCGTCTGCTGCCCCTGGCCAGAATGTCTTCTTCTCCCCTGTGAGTGTGTCCATGAGTGTGGCCATGCTGTCCTTGGGTGCCCGTGCCCACACCAAGGAACAGATCCTGGGGAGTCTGGGCTTCAGCCCCCAGCACAGCCTAGAGGACGAGCTCCACCTACATGAGGGCTTCCAGAAGCTCCTGCTGGAGCTCAGCCAGCCCAGAGAGGGCTTCCAGCTGAGCCTCGGGAATGTTCTCTTTGCTGACCCTGCAGTGTCCATTCAGGACACCTTCCTGAGTTCCATAAAGACGCTATACCTGGCAGATACTTTCTCCACTGACTTTGGGAACCCCACAGAGGCCCAGAAACAGATCAACGACTATGTGACAAAGCAAACTGAGGGCAAGATTGGGGACCTGATTCAGAACCTGGACAGCACCCATGTCATGGTGCTAGTGAATTACATTTTCTTTAAAGGTGAGACTAGGGCTCAACTTTTTCTTTCTCTCCTGCAGCTTTTATCAAAGCAGCAATCCCCATCCAGATGAAGAGTAGAAGTGACTTAGTCCTCTCTGGGAATACTGGGAAAGCCAGCCAACAGCCCAGGGAAGATAGGGTCTTCTTGCTATGTGAGGTGATGTCAGGAAACCCATCGTACTCTTCCCTCTGCCAAGGAACTGGTCACAGCCATCAGGCCAAAGACACTGACACCAGGGCTAGAAGGGCACATTGCAGCTCCTCCCTTGCCCCGGGACCTTGCCCCTCTGCCCTCCTAGTAACTTTTCAGCCAGAATGTGCCCACACTTCTCAGCAACAGTGGTCTCCCTTTGTATCTCCCTACACCGGTCATGAACACCCACTCCTGTTAGCACATTCTTCTGCTTGTCCTCCCAGATGCTAAACCACTCCTTCCTCTTCTGCATGGGTCTGGGGGTGGGAGTGGAGCAAGAATGGAGGAAGAGGGGAGGGGAGGAGAGAGCAGGGAAGGAAGGGAGTTACATTGTTTCCCCAGCCCATCCTACTGCTACAATCACAGATAGTGAGTTTCTCAGCCTATTCCAGCTGCTCTGACAAAATACCACACACTGGGTGGCTTATAAAGAACAGAAACATATTTCTCACTGTTCTGGAGGTTGGCGTTCAGGGTCAACCACAGATTCAGTGTCTGTTGAGGCCTTGTCCCATGGTGGAAGGGACACACAAAGTCCCTGGTGCCTCATTTATAGGGGCACTAATCCCATATATGAAGGTACTACTTTTAAAAACCTAATTACATCTCAAAATCCCACCTCCTGGTACGCTCACCTTGAAGGTTAGGATTTCAATATATGAATTTTGGGAAGGAGGCACAAACATTAGACCATAGCAGAATCAAGCCTGAAGTCTAGATTTCTTGTTCCCTAGTCCAGCGCTGACCCCAGTACAGCAGGCTGCAGAGGACAATTATGAAATAAGCTAAGAGTGATATAGGGGTGGGGTCCCCTTTGATAACTGTTAAGTCAGAAACAATTGCTCATAGTGCTTTCATCAGAAGCAACCAGGGAAGGAGGCATGGAGAAGACCCAACAGGAAACCTTGTACATTTCCAGGACGCTTACAAACACTTTCCCAAACTTAGACCAAAACCTAATATTAGGGAAAGAGTAAAAACCACAACAACTCACCCAGATATCAGGTAGCATTCTCAGCCACCCAGATGTCATTTACCTTAGTTAATTTAATATTTGGCCTTGAATAATATTGGAAAATCAAAGAACATGAGGAGGTGAGGGCTTCTGAAGACAGGAAAGCCAATCTTTTTGTTTGGAGAATGTGGAAGGAAAGGCTCTACAAGAGGTTTAGGCTGTCCCAGAACTATAAAGGGACATGTCTTTGAGGTCAAGAAGTTTGGCCATCCCTGCTGCTGAGGCCCCTCCAAGGAAGAAGTGCTCTGTGACTGCTGACTCCACTCTTCATGTGCATCTGAAACTTTCTCCTTCTTACACAAAATTTTCTTTCATTTCCTACTCCCATGTTAATTTTTAGCTAAGTGGGAGACAGGCTTCAGCCACAAAAACACCCAGGAACAAGACTTCCACGTGACATTGGAGACAGTGGTGCGGGTGCCCATGATGAGCCGCGAGGATCTGTATTACTACTTCCTGGAACGAGACCTCTCCTGCTGGGTGGTAGGGATCCCTTACCAGGGCAATGCCACTGCAGTGTTCGTTCTCCCCAGTGAGGGCAAGATGGAGCAAGTGGAAAACAGCCTGAACGGGAGCCTGCTGAGGAAGTGGTTTCGGATGTTCACAAAGAGGTATTCTTCAGGTGACTCAGGGCCAGCCCAATGCTAGGTACACACATGAAGACAGTCACTGGGCTGCCTCCGAACCAAAGGCATCCTATGAGGTCCTGCTAGAGGGACCAGGGCTAGAAGGTGGGTTTCCTGGTATGGCTCCAGAGCAGGCAGTCACCTCTGGGGGGGAGGGCCAAGCCCAAGTTCACAGCCAGGGGACCTCCATCTTAAACAAGGGCCTAGAGAAGCATATGAAGCCAAGAGGAGGTGACTGGAAACCACTCGGTGAGCCGACGCTCAGTCTAAGAAAGCTTTTTTTCTTTTTCCAGGCAACTCGAGCTTTACCTTCCCAGGTTCTCCATTGAGGGCTCCTACCAGCTAGAGAAAATCCTCCCCAAGCTGGGGATCAGTGATGTCTTCACCTCCCAAGCTGACCTGTCTGGTATCACCAGCCACTCAAACATCCAGGTGTCTGAGGTGGGTCTGGAAACTCTTAAGCAGCTGCCTTCCAAAACTACTATTCCATCCCATCCCATCCCATTTTATTCCATGCTTCATTACCCCAGAGACTCAGTGATGTTCTCTGAGCCATGTCCTCTTGCAATGGGAAGCCATGTCTGTTACCTTGCCTTGGACGAAGAGTCCTGTATTAAGCAATTAGAACCCACAATCTGGAGAAAGTCCTCTTCTTTCCTTGCTATGTGACCTCCAATAAATACTTGAGTCTCTGAGCCTCTTATATAAAATTAGAGGGTCACATATCTCACTCTCAGATGTCACCAGAATTCAATGGCTGACATGTGCCATCACCTCTGCATAGTGCCTGGTTCAGGGCACCTGTTCAATGGTTCCATTACCTACCATTTTAGTGCTCAGTGGCATAGATGCTTTGATGTTCTGCCCATAGGCAAAAGCTTTGCCATTTCCCATAAAGACTCCCCTAGCCCCCAGCAGCTCACTAATACCTGCTGTCCCCCACAGATGGTGCACAAAGCCGTGGTGGAGGTGGATGAGTCGGGAACCAGAGCAGCTGCAGCCACAGGGACCATCTTCACGTTCAGATCAGCCCGGCTGAGCTCGCAAAGGATTGTGTTCAACAGGCCCTTCCTCATGTTCATTGTGAAGAACATGAACATCATCTTCCTTGGCAAAGTGGCCCGCCCCTGACAAGGGGCTTCCCCTGAAATGCACAGGTCTCCACAGTGGGACTCAGGGCTATGCTGTGGGTCATCTGTCTGCCAGTAGCTAATGATGCATGTAGGTTTACTTGCCTAATGAGGTGTCATAAATAATAATGAGGTCAATAGACTGATAACTGCTTCTTCTCACCCAGTGGCAAGACATGGGTGCCTTGGACAATGCTGGAGAACTTGATCTTTCTCTTACCTTTTACCAGTGGATGTTAGCCCTGAGGCCCAAAGAGGTCAACTTATTTGTCCAAGTTGTGTTAGTGGCACAGACAGACCTAGAGTTCAGTCCAGTGCCACAAAACTCTGAACGAGAGTGGTCCCAGTAAATGTGGGCCACCACCAAGCACATTTTAAAGGCTTTTCCCTACTTATCAACAACAACAACTCAGAGTTCATCATGATTTGGAAAGTGCTGCAATCAGGATCTGGGATGGGGCTACTGGCCCAACCCTAGCCAGCTATATCGCTGCAATAAAACTTGGCCTCAGTTTCCCTTCTACACAGTGAAGCTGTAATCAGGACTCTTAAAAAAGGCTGAGCCAATCATACATTAAGTAAGACTGTTGGGCACCAGTGTGGAAGTGATCCAGTGCAGGAGCCCATGCATGGGATGGTATCACTCATGGACCTGGCAGAGCAGGAGAGTGGAGGTCTATTGCAAACAGTAGAGCACCAATTGTAGACACTGATGACCAGCTTTCTGAACTTTATCTTGACAACAACAATAAAGGATTTGCAAAGACTGCATCTCACTATCCTTCTGAAGGCAGCTCACACTTTATATTCACCTTTCACACTTCTCCACGAGGCAGGGGTCACTACTACCCATACTTTATAGATGGAGAAGCAAGCTTGCAGTGGTTAGGCAGCTTACCCTATTACATAGCTCATACCTGTTGGAGCAGGATCAGATGGGGACTGTGACCACCACTCGCCCTGTGCTCTGCTAGGGACGCAAGCTGAAGGCATGTTCAGGTGCACCTCAGCCATAGCAGCCTATGGCTGAGGCAGGTGACTTCCCTCCTTTTTGTACTAAGCGAATGTGTTTCCTTCTCTGTCAGATGAGGGGCTTTGACACTTTAAAGACCCAATGAATGAGTGAGTGAGTGGATCCTCCTTCACTGAGTTTCACACTGTCTTTCCCCTGATCAGCTAACCCCAGAGCAGAGGCTTACCCACTTCATCCTACAAGTTCCTATTTTACTTTCCATGAGGCTCTGTCAATCACTCTGATCCCAGGGTCTGGACTGTATTGGGAGACCACAAAAAACAAAAAGTCAGAACCCTAAGTTTTTACTGTCCCCACAAATACTGAGTACCTTCTATGTGCCAGCCCAGGCCAGCTACCTTGCATTTGGGAGCTCATTCCTTCCTCAAGAACCCAGCAAGGTCTATCATTGTCCTCACTTTTAGGGGAAAACAGCTGGTGACAGTGAGGGCCCAGACTTGAGACCCCAGGTGGCACATGCATTGTCTGATGGCAAGACACATGGCTACCAGACCCAGACAGCTTGGCTGAGTTTGTGCTATCAGGTCAGGATGGCTCACTAGGATCAGGCCTCCTGTGGGGTCATGCCACCCCTGTGTGGCTTCCCCTTGCATAATGTCTAGCCTTTCTTGGCAAATGTTTCTCTGCATGTTTACCCAGCCAGTCCAAGGCCAGGGAGAGGCCCTGCCTGTGTATCATGTATAAGACTAAGGTCTAGCACTGTCTAAAGTTCACTCAGCAAACAGGCACAAAGCTCTACTGTGTGCAGGACGGAGTGGGGTCCAGTGCATTGAGCCTCTGCCTCAATGTCACACATCACAGTGCTCTCCGAGGAGTCATCACAGGCTGTTTGACCCAATCACTACATGATCCTGGGTGCACAGAATATCCCAGAAGCTGTGTGTGTGTGTATGTGTGTGTGTATGTGTGTGTGTAAGAGAGAGAGAGAGAGAGAGAGAGAGAGACAGAGCGAGAGAATGAGGCAGAAGAGGGACATGGAGCTGGTCTTTAAGAAGGATTGGGACAGCAGACGTGGAAACAGATAGTAGTAGACTTCCAGGCAGAGGAACCAGCTGGAGAAGAGCATGATATGAGCGAGGCCCGGAATAGGAGAAATCAGAGACTTGTCTGGATCTGTGGAAGGAGCATGAATGGGAACAAGGAGGAAGGAGGTGGCTGTGCTGATGCCTCGGGGACAAAGACTCTGGACACAAAGCCAGTATTTTTTTCTGTCCTCTTTCATCACTGGATGACCATAGTTTGGCATCCATGCTACACTCTGAGTGTCCCTGGACTCCTTCCTGTCCCTTCCTCTCCATCTGCACATCAGCAGGTGTCTCTACTCAGCCCTCTAGGAGACGCTCATGCCTTCTTCTCCACCAGCCCCTTCCCAGGATTGACTCGTCTACCGGGTAATGGTCTGTAGTGTGACTGGATATACAGCAGACTGTTCCCCTCATTACCTGCTTCTTAGTCACTGTACCAGCTTCAAAGTACCACATTTGGGTGACTTAAGTCACGGAAGTGGAGATAGCTCCTTCTGAAGCCTCGTTCCTTGGCTTAGAGAAGGCCTCCTTCTCCTTTTGTCTTCACATGGTCCTCCCTCTGTGGGGTCTAGATTTTCTCCTTTCATCAAGACACCAGCTGCATGGGAGTAGGGCCATCCAATCAGATTGGGCTGAACTGATTCCATTTCTTAGTTTTGATAGATATGCCTTGGTGCTATAAAATGTGTATGTTCACATTGGGGGAGCTGGGAGAACAGGGAGAGACTGTCTGTATTGTCTCTACAACTTTCTTGTAAGTCCAAAAGTATCTCAAAATCAAAAGGTTTTTTTGTAAAATAAAGTAAAATCAAATCAAATGTTCTGAAAGCAAAACAAAGGGAGGTGGGCAGGAAAGAAATAGATACTAGTGGTGGTCGGAGTTCCAAAGGCAGAAGGCAGAGACCTATTAAGGAAGGGAATTTCTTACCTGGAATTAAAAGAGAATGCAAGGACTTTCTGTAGCCAGGGTGCCAAAAGGGTCTGTCTGAGGTGGTGGCATTTTGATGCAGGCATCAAAAGCAATGTCCCAGAGGTGGGACAGAGTGCATGCTGCTCACAGAATAGGAAGAGGGTGCTTGTGGCTGGAGGTGGTGACAGGAGAATGGGTAAGGGAAGGAAAGCTCACTCCTCTATCAGCAGTCATGACACAGTGCAGTGTGGCAGTGACAATAATAATAACAGGCAGCACCTAGAAGCCATGTCCTGTGTGTCTGGCACTTATTTTGCATCTTTTACATATGTTGGTTTAGTTAATGAAGAGACACCCTTGCAGGGAGCTGGGAGACAATCGGTGATATGGTGGCCCTCTCCAGTTTCCTGTCACTCCACATTACTAACCACATGGTATTGGGGAAAGTAACCATCTGCCAACTTTCCCCAACACCATGTGGGTAGGAGTAAGGGGGCATCAAGGTCCCAGGTGACAATTACCATCCCCAAAGACACAATCCCCAGCTCCCCAGTGTTGAAATAATGAAAGAACAAAATTCCTGAAGTCTACAGTCCCTAAAGCCAATTCTAAAAATCACAATCTCACAGTTCCTGAAAGTGGGAGGAGAGGGGAGCAACAAAAAGAGGGGTAGAAAATCAAAACTTCAAATGAGACAATTGGTCACTTGATACAGCAACAAGAAAAACTTAAAATGAGTCCTTTGCCTGTGTTGATGTTCCTTCCAACTATTGACTTTCCAGGAACTTTCAATGAACTAAAGCCAGATTTGTCCAAAGAAGCCAGCGAAGTTATGGACTGGTTTGAAAATAATTATGTACATGGTACAATAAGAACTTTTTTCTTTGGTGGTACTGGAGCTTGAACTCAGGGCCTCACTCTTCCTAGGCAGCCACTCAACCACCTGAGCCACACCACCAGTCCAGGTAGACTAGAATAAGAGCTTATACGGCAGCGCTGCTGTTCAATCAGTACTCAGCACGAGATTCTACTGAATCTGTGCATGCAGAATGGACTTCCAAGGACCCCAAACAACACGGCACAGATGAAGAGAAACTCCAACAGGGAATGTTCAGATAGTGTGTGTCCATCAAATCAAAGGATGTCACAAGGAACCCACCATGTAGAAATGAATGTGAATGCAGCTGGTTTAGGACAGCCATGTCCTAAATGAAGGAAGCAGCTATTCATCTCCATGCAAGACTTCAAAATACGGTAACTGGTTGCGAAAGTCAGCCACCTGTCACTATGTTGGTGTATTTGCCCATGACCTAGCCCTGTAATACACCTTTTTCATATGTCAAATTTTCTCTTTAGTTTTGGGTTTCTTTTTTCAGTTTTTTCCACTATTTTAAATTGTCAGGATACTTTTTATAATGCATTATGCTATGTATTTTATCTTCATGTAATCTCCAATACTAGAGGCAAAACTTGCGTAATTACTTTTATAAAGTTCCAATTCATTAATGTGTCTAAGCATTATATATGTAAAAATGTGAAAACTTCCTCAGTAAATGAAGATGAGGCAGGCTAAAAACAAAAGATCCCACCGTGGGACTCCCTTCTCTTAACCAACCTGATATCCTCATGCTAGACTTTTTCACTACTCCCCCAGCACGGCCCTGAGCCATCTATAGAGCAATCGGTTCCTCTCTCAGTTGTGAATACCCTGGCAGTCATAAATATCTTTGCAAGATAGTGTCCAAAGGGGCACCTCTGAGCCTGGTTTGCCTGGAACAGAAGAGATCTGCCACCAATTTGACCTCTCAGGTAGAGTCCTCTACTTAAGACCTTAGGAATATTGGTCCCCCACATCTCATATATACAATTAAAAACCTGGAAATTAGCAGAATCACATGTGCAGAATATCCCATGTTATGTGATAAGGCTGTGTTAATTAAATCTGCCAGCTACCCTAGCCCCAACCTAAGGACTGCCCAGATTTTTCCAGCCTTACAACATATAAATTGGGCTTAAACAAAGATATCCATGCTTTTGTGCCATCTGGAAGGAGCCCACCACTTCTCTTGTTCAGCTTCCTCTTACTCTTTCTTTTCTTTTCTTTCATTAAAGCTTTGCTACTGTTTTGCAATTTGTATCTCTACCCAGTTCTCTGTTGAGGTGACACAAGAACTTGGGATCTTCTGGATTAGTGTCTTCTTAGACTACTCAGCCCAGCGACAAAGAGATGTCCTTTTTAAACAGCTACATTTGTGAAAGATAGCTTTTCTTTCCATCTGAGCTCTTGAGACAGCTGTGTATTCAGAGGTGAGCCACTTCAGTTATCCATCATGGTATTTCAGACAACCAAAGTTATGAAGCCAAATATACACATTTACCAACTACAGTTATGTGAGTTTGACATTTCCCTTTTGACCTATTTCTTTATGGATACAATTCATAACTATAAAGCCATGTGACTGTGGTTATTATTCCTGTGGGTTTCTCTTGCCACACTATGTACTCTATTGTTGACTATTCTGTTGTGTAAAGTGACCTACGGAATGTTCCGTTGTGTTTTTAGATGCTTCTCGAATAAGTTCTCTCTAAAAATGTAAATAAGTAAATATTTATTTTAAGACTATTTTAAGTACCTTTTCCAAAACTATATTTTGGGGCATTTTGACTTTAGGGATTTTGATCTTTGTAGATTTCAACATTCACACGCACACACAAAGCATATATTCCTGGCCCAATCCCAGAGATCAACTTTTTTTGCACACCTTTCGATAGCTCAACTGGTAGAGTGAAG